CCCTTAATGGGTTATTATTATTATTATACGGCAAGGAAGGGAATAGGGAGGCATTCAGCTGCAAGATGTATAGAAAGTACTCGTCCTAAATTAATAAAGTGCCTTTAACTCCGATGGCCAGCAATGAAATCGCTTTAATCATTGTCAGTCTCTTTCGATCCTTATTTCAGGGGGGAAAAAGAAAGAAAAGCCAACCCCTCCCTTCATCCACCCCCTCCCTCCCCGCCACAAAAAAAGCCCCAAACGGTGGAGCTATTATTGTGCCTAATTGCTGCGGAGCTAGGAGATTGCCAATCTGTTTCGGTTTCCCTTCTAAAGAAGAGAAATCAGTTCATTCGCATTTTGAGCAGCTTAAAAGAAACACGAGGATTTTATTTTTTTAAATCTGAAGTATAAGAGAAAGGGAGAAAGACGCCCAACATTTTAACTAGACCTGTAACTCCAGAGAAATAGATATTTCCCTGGACATGGATCTGTTAGGCTTAATTCAAGTCTATCTCACTAGTAGAAGATGGCTAATACTTTATGGCGTGATTGTTATGTGTTAAGAATCTATCCTTTAAAACACCGTATAGGAGGTTATCTGAATTATGCTGTTCACTGGGTTTGTATTACGTAAGTGGTTTATGGGTATTTATCGTACATGGGCTTATATTATAGAGGGTTTTACTATAAAGGTTTTTAATTGTGTAGACGGTTTATATTAGAGGCGTTTGTTGTATAGGTGTGTAGATGAGTTCACTGTATGCCTGTGCGGGTTTTGTAATTGTGCGGAGGTTTATTGTATCGGGTAGAATGCAAAGACATAACGCTGGACGCGGGGGTTGATTACATGGGGGTTCTTGCCTGGGGTTTTTGTTTTTGTACAAGGACTTTATACCGTATTTGGGAGGGTGGTGGAGGGGTCTTCGTGAGGGTGTCAGAACCCTTCTGTCCGGAGAGGAGCCGAGCCCTGGGCTCGCTCGGGCTAAGCCGTGTTTGTATGTTGTAGAGAGAGGGGGAGAGCACCGCTCCGCGGAGAACTGCGCTGATGCCTTGTTCTCTCTCTGCCCTGCTGCAGCCGAGCCCCTCTCTGCGTGTTCACAGCGGACCTTGATTTAATGTCCATACAATTAAGGCACGCGGTGAATGCCAAGAGAGGAGCCTCACAGCTTCATTTTAATGGAAATTGGGGACATAAACCCTCTAATTACACTTAACAGCAGCCACGGAGCGATCTATGGAGCATCCTCGGCCTTTTGACAAATAGGAGCAACAATGGCTCCAACGTCTTGCAGGGCAGCTGTCTCTTTACATTCAAAGGGGCAGGGGGGAGAAGCAGGCCCCTTCTGAATATGCAGAGGTTTAGGGGCTCCCGGCTCACAAAGGGAAAGGTCAGAATGAGAGGCAGGACAATGCAGGGAGAGTTAAGGAGGGGAGAACCGGGAAGACAATGCAGTAGGGTTGCTAATATTGGGGGGGGGGAGTAAATATCTTTGCAACCCCCACCATGGTAACTTTGCTTCCCTCTAGATGTTTGCGATGAATGGTGATATCCGAGAGGGAACAGAAAGGGAACTGTAAGAAAGAACCCCGCAAAGGTTCAGGGAAGCTGTTCTGTCACTTCAAACAAGGACTGATCTTAATAGGAGGAGAAAGATTTAGCTCTGTCTTAGGGCAAAGCCCTCAGCTTGGACTTAATGTCAGAAAAACGTGCCCCGTGTTCTCTACATGTAACACCCCCGCTCCACTTCGAGAAGGGGAAGGGAGGGAAATACGTATGTCCAAATCACTTTAATTCCATTTTCTTTGGTTAATTCAACCTCGTTCCAAATCTAAAACCAATGGCAAAATGTGTTGGAATAAAGAGTTCTGCTTCTGTCATGATTCCTGGATTAACCGTTGCAATTACCCTAATAAACTCCTTTTTTCAGATGTGAGACCAAGAATTTTGTTCTTTTGTTGTTGTTGTCGATTCTTTTTGTTGTTGTTGTCAATTCTTTATCATTACGCAGCAGGTTCAAAGGACTAGTGCTGCGAATTAAAGATGCGACAGCGTTTATTTAAATATTTTGAAACAACCACCACTATTTTAGCTGCTTCGTTAATAGCTAATTCACAGCAGTACTGAAATACACAATGCTTACTTTTTAAAATAAAATCCGTGTTTCTGTGTATTTTTTTTCAAGTTATAAAATACTACGCAATAGCTGTAAGAGAATTATGGGTTCTATTTTAAGGAGTTTAGATTTTTAGAACCAAGAATTATTGTTACGAATGCAGTTTAGTTACACAGAAAGTTTATAGGTATTTATGTATCTGTACCATGGTCATTCTATATTAGGGTAGATAGATAACATTCTCTAATATAGAATGGCCATGGTACTACATAATGTAGCATGGCTCTCTCTCTCTATATATATACACCATATCTAGTTCATGCACATATATAAAATTCTGTATTTATAGCTAAGTGTATGCAAGTTATACTACCGTTTGTACATAGTATGCATGTATCATAATACATACAAAGGTGTTGGAATATATGCAATGTATATGACTGTGAGAATGTAAAAAAGCTGAAGTTTTCAGTTTCTCATTTATCTATTTTTCACCATATCTGTAATGAAATTTGCAAAGATTCTTCTAATACCCCCTTACTTTTTAAAATGAATTAAATTGCTGATCTAAAATCCCAGCAGAAAATTGCTTCTCCAGCGTTTACAGCAAAAGAGCCTTCGCATAGCGCCATCTGTCGCTCCTTCGGCTGTAGGGCAACTCATATCCGCGATCCAACCAGCTGCAGGTAGAAGGCGACAGACATAATTCGCAGTGCTTCCCGTCTGGACGCAGCAACCTCAGGGGTTGGTTGTTTCGGTGTTAAAAATATTAATCTTCTGCTGCAGGGTCTCAGCTCATCAAGATACATCGGGCCGAACCCTGACTGGCTAAGGCAAACTCCCCACCTTTGGGAGTTTGCTCAAACAGCTAGCCCCCAGCCATATGCATGGAGCCCGAGACACATACATGAAGACACGAGGGACAGAGGTGTCACTTGGGACCCAGTGCACGAAGGGTCGGGTCTGGGCCCTCTGTGATGAAACACAGGAAAGGAGTGGCAGGAGGCTGCTTGACTGGGTTAGAGGTCCCACCCCCCTTCCTGCCCAAGTCCCATTGGATTGTAATTCCGTGTTCCCTCCAGCAGAGCCAGTGTGTCCTGGCCGCACAGGGGGAGCAGGGCAGGGAGAGCAGAAGCAGGAGTCTCCTTGCACCATGGGCATTTGGAAGGTCGGTGGTCCCCCTGGTGGTTTGCACTGTTTCACCACCAGGAGGGCTGGGCAGCAAAGGCACCAAGATGCTCTGATGCTGGGGAAAGATGGAAGCAGAGGTGCCTGTAGGACCCACCTTTCTACACTCAACAGCACCAAGACCAACCTGGCCTCAAACCGTCCTACCTCCATCCCAAGGATTCCCACCCCATCTTTTCCTTCCCAATGGATCTTTAATCCTGCCCACCCCCTCCATCCCAATGGATTCCTAATCCACCTCCAATGGGTCCCTGACCCCCTCCAATGGATCCCTAATCTAACCCCACCCACTCTCTCTGGGGGATCCCTGCAGACTCTGTTAATTACCACACATATCCCTGCGCTCGCACAGTCAGTGTGCAAGGAGGGGCACCAGGCTACAGGGGTCTGGGGAAAAGGACAGAGATCATCTCTATAAACCAAGCCCTGTGGATTATTTCCCCACCCCCAGCAGATCTAGTACAGATGGCATGGAAAGAGGTGCTGATCCCTTTCACACAGGGATCCCTGCAGACTCTGTTAATTACCACACATATCCCTGCGCTCGCACAGTCAGTGTGCAAGGAGGGGCACCAGGCTACAGGGGTCTGGGGAAAAGGACAGAGATCATCTCTATAAACCAAGCCCTGTGGATTATTTCCCCACCCCCAGCAGATCTAGTACAGATGGCATGGAAAGAGGTGCTGATCCCTTTCACACACTGAAAAACGGGGTGGGGGCAGGGGATTTTTCTCTCTCTCTGTTGTGGCATTGAGCAGCTCCTTCCTCCCCACGTCTATGGAGTTACCCCAGGACAAGGCCCATGTGTGCCAGCTTAGAACAGGCCTGCCAGGGAAGGTGGGTTTGCCAATCTATAGACAAGCTTGGACAGCCAGCACTCTAGTCTGGCCAGACTCACAGGGCTGCCCCAGCTGCAGGTTCATACACAGGGCAGTTTTTGCTGGGGTTTGAGGGCAAAGCGTGATCATAGGAGGACCAGATCTCAGTCCACCCTGCTTCCCTGGGCAGCTGGATGGAAGGTCAGAGTGATGGGGTGTGATGAGTGAGTTACTTGTCTTGGCCTGATCTGAAGAGCACAGGGGGCGCTCAGTGTAGATGCTACACCAGCGTGCTCTCATTCCTCCACCCACCGAGCTGAGTAAAGAGGGTGCAGAGATGCCCTCTGTGTTCAGAGGTTAAGGGAGGGTGGAATTCCCAAGTGCTGTCCCTTCCTAATTCCTCTAGCTGCCCAGAAATGCAAGGCATCACCACCACCTCCAGAGGCAGGTCAGGTCTGAAACAACCACCAACACAGCTCTAACATCTTTATTGCAGCTAAGCAAAGGCCAGGTGTGTTGTATACACACATACACAGTCTCAGGGTAACACATTCATATCATAGCTATAGCACCCCCAAGCACTCCAAGGGCCCTGAGCATGTCATCTAGTGTGATACCACAGGCTCTGGGCCGTATGTTCGAAAGTTTCCCAGGGCTTCTCCATTAGCCGGTGACCACAATTCAAAACCAGATGGGAAGACATTTCAGCGGACAGTGGAGAATCAGAACATCCCATTCTTTCCTGGCCTGCAACACTTGCTGAAAAGGACTGTGGAGGATCTAGGTGTCAGAGTGCCTGTTGCACTGAACAGGGGGATGGAAAATCAGGCAGTCCCTAGAGATCCAGCAAACAGAAACTATGTTCAGACCTGCACCACACACTCTTCCATTCCTCCTGCTCACAAAACACCTAATCCACAGCCACCCAAATAGAAAAGGATCCAAATCAGCTGGACCTCCCCATTCCAGCACAGAACCTCTCTGATGCCTGGACCAACTCCCCAATAGGTCCTGCTGGGGTGCTCCATTTGTTCCCCTGACAGGGACATTGTCCCACACCCTGGAAGAGTGATTATGTCAGATAGGGGCCACCAGATAAGGGAGGAGAAGATGCATCTTTCCCATACTCAGATACCATACAAGGGCCCCTACTTGGTTCAGAGATGTGCCACTCGTCTATGCCAGGTGCGTTCCCTTGATGTGCCCCTACCACATGGTGAGGAAAATTGGACTTCAGAACTCCCCAATGCCTGTGGGCCTCTGACATGGGTTCCCTTTACCCCCAGTGTCACTGCTGCAGACTGCAGAGGTCATATTTTGTCTTGGGAGTAGAGCCCTGCAAATCCACAGATATGTTTTATATCTGCTTTATATCCGCAGGTATTCACATCTGTGGCTGTGGATGTGGCTATCCACAGTTCATTTCTGTGAATACAGATGCAGATATACATTTTGTATCTAGAGCCCTGAAAATCTGAGGATATCCACTTTATATCCTCTGCTGGTGTGAATGTGGATATCTGTGGCTCATTTTCACGGATACTGATGTCGATGTGAACACAAATTTTCCCCAGTGCTCTAGCTGCTGCTGCCCAGCCTTAATGCTACTGCTCCTAAGCTGGGTCCTTGCTTGTCAGGTCCCAAGGGCTAGGAGTCAGTTGCCCCATCTGGGTAGATGCTGCAGGGCTATTAAAACAGTCCTCCAAGCAGATATTATTCATGAAGAGTTAGCTTAGGGACCCTGATTTATTCCTAGCCCAGGAGCCTTAGTTCCATTTTACAGAGGGGTACATACAGAAGGAGAAAAAGGCCCTTCTCTGCACATGTATTTAGGTGCCTGGACACTTTTGAGGATTTTGGTCAAAGGATTCACCGAAGATCACTAGGCAAGTCAGTGCCAGAAAAGAGAGAAGTTCTAGAGTTCTAGCCCCTAGCTAAACACACAGCTCCCTGCTGCTTGGACTTGATTGGATTGAATCTAGTGGCAAACCTGGTACTTCATTCAATAGCAGGGGATTGGATTCTGCATGTTGTAATCTCCACATAAAATACCTTTTGGTTTTCCCCTCCCAAAGTTTGTCCCAGTCATGCACAGCCAGAGGCGCATTTCCATTGGGCACCACAGCAAGTTCTTTATGCCCAGGGACCCAGAACTACTACAAAAAGAATTCACCCTCTCTGGTGTACCTCTTCACTCCAAACAATCATTAGCCTCTTTGCAAATCCTTGGGATTGACAAGAAGAGGTTAAAAATCTTTACAGTAAAATGCTCAGAGGAAAGTGGACACAGGAAGCCATACAATTCCTTCTCCCCTGTGTGGCTCTGCTTTACCCAAAGCCCTTCTGTAAATAGAAAGGAGACGCATTGGTTCAGTGTTTTGTACCTGATTGTTCCCACCACAGCTTCCCACTGTCTTTTCCCCTCCTTTTGCCGCAGCTAAAGAACTTTGTCTCAGCTGCCCTTTCTTTTCCATATGCTGCCCTGCTCCTGCACTAGCTCTATATATCCCTCTTGTGTCCAACTCGGAACAGAGACTGTGGCCCTGGGTTAAAAACTACAGCAGCGGACCAAAAAAATGGCTATGCTGATAAAAGCAGAAGCCATAGCTTCAAGGGTTCTGATTCATACTGATGGGAAATGGAAAAGAGGCTTGGAAGCTTCTAATGCATCTCCGATGGTGATGTAAATGAAAATGAGAAGGGCACTAAAGCAAGCTTAAGGAATTCCCTTTTGCAACGGGTGTATATTCAGGTCACATGGAAGTTGTTAGAGTGCTAACATTTTACTATTGCACTTCTAGATTTATAGCTATA